AAACTGCAGTACAGGGTTTCAGGATAAATCCTGAGAGGATTTGACTGACCTTGTCAGACAAAAAAGTTCCATTTCTTGTTCTATAGGTCTTGCTTTATCTTGGTCTTAACTATCCAGCAGAAAAGTATAAAAATGAGGCACAAAAAGTAAAGCCATATTTGGGCTGGGGAGTTGGCTCAATAGAACAAACGCTTGCTTGGCAAGCTCAAGGGCCTGAGTTTAATCCCTGGTTCCACAAATATAAATAAAAATAAATAAATAAAATAAAAGCCATATTAATATGCTGAGCTGTAAAGGGCTCAAGTCAACAACTTCTGACATTGCCTGTCCTAGGGATAACCTACTACTATTATGGACTACTGGACTATATTGGATTATTTTGCTGAATTCACACACCTACAATATTTAAATGGCAGTGGAATACCCATCTCTGACAAAAAAAAAAAGGGATACACATGGAGGACCATTTTGTATCTGTATATACAAAATAGGATAAATATATAGCTACTTTCTCTTAATTCAATGAGAAGAAAGATTTAAAAAAAATAAAAAAAAAGAAAGAGTTGTATTAATAGCGTTTGGACAGGATATCATGTCTGTATCTTATACTATGAATAACCACTACGAAGACAACAATATGCAATGTATTAATTATTGAAACTATCCTAGTAATCGGTTTGAAAACTGTCTTATTGCTATTTATTTCTCAATAAAATTAATAAAAAATAAAGTAAAATACAAAAATTTTATGAATGCATCCAATGTATGAATGTGTTCCCTTACTAATGAAGGGAACTCATTAGTAAGTGAGGGACATAGCACACAATTGATTGTGCACATTCTACATGGGAAGAAATAAAGATGCAATGAGGTGAAGCCCATCACCCAGGGTCACACAGCAGGAATGGGACAGCACATCCACAATGGAGACTACTACTACTGTTCACAGGCCAACCATAGGCTATGATCCTTGAAGACCCAAGCATACTTGTGGAACAGAAGGAAGTCACTGGGCACAAGGGCTATACTCAACCCCACTCTGGGGAACCAGGTGGCTGTTACTGGCCATGTAGTGTCAGATCCCAGGGCACAGCAGGCATTGGGCTCTGTGCCTTCACTGTGTGCCGAGTGCTTACATCAACTAAGCCAGATAGCAAGAGTCTCTCTCCTCATAGCCCCCTGCAACTCCTGCTGGCTACACTGTGAGGGGCTAGGCTTGGATCATGCCAAACTTTTTCTTTTCATTCTTTTATAATGTTTGAGCCCCTGGGATTTAAAATTTTGTTTTCTTTGCAGTGCTTGGATTGAACCCAGGGCCAGTGTGCAATCTTGGCCAGGGCTGTGCCTCTGAGATGCAACCCCAGCCTGAGACCCTGAGTATTGACGGGGCCTATGGCTGCCCAAGTTAAAGGCAGTGCTGGAACTGTGAGGCCTCGAGCAAAGGACGGGAGTTTTTGTGCCTCACTTTCTCAGCTATGTTTAAAACTATGATCTCTGCAGCACCCTGGCAGAGTGAGAGGGTTAACAGTGCTTAGAATGAGACTGGGTACAGAGCATGAATGATGTTCACTTTGAACTACTGGTGTGCAGAAAAAATAAGAGGAAATGTTTTCTGCTGCTGTTCACCTGGCCAGGGCAGAAGTCCACAGGGTCTGTGTTGTCACCCAGAAGCTCTTGCCAGTCTCCTGCCCTTATTCTAGGGAAAGAGGAGAAGGCCCTGAAATCCCCTCCCAGATAGAGTCTACAGAAGGAGAGTTTTCTGCTTTGAGAGCCTGAAATCTAAGGAAGAGGCCTCAGATGATCTTTACAAATACACATAGTCCTCAATTTACAATGCAGCTCCACACACAGAAACTCCTTGTAAGTTGAAAACATAATGCCATTGAAAATGCAGCTAAGCATCTGGACTGCTGAACATCAGAGCTGAGCAACGAGGCCCACAGCAGCGAACTTGTGGTTTCCCGTGACACAGTAGCCAGGCCTGGCCACTTGAGGCTCAAGGAACAAAGGTGGATCAGGAGAATTTGTCTCCCAGGAATGAGAGATACTCCCAGGTATCTCTCTAAGGGATATCTCAGTTCTGAGAATTGTAGAAAGGTTATAGGTGGAGAAGCAGAGCTAACCCTTTACTTTACCATGTCTAACCTACATGGGACTTTGAGCCTGATCAGCCCATGTGATGGTTTGTTCTGGAGGAAGCCGAGCCAAAAGGTTAGTGCAAAAGGAGATGAAAATGGGACCTGAGGCCCAGGGAAAGCCTCTGGGATAGCAGGGGGCGTTTTGCTATGCTAAGATATGTCTGAAGGAGCAATACCATAAACCTGGATAAGACAAAGGGCAGCCCCTGGGACTGTTAAACTCTGACGGCCTCACTGATCTGCACATTCCTCCTCCCACTTCCCATTTCTGCCTTTTGTAAAGAAAACACTAATAAATGCTGGAGAATTGGCAACTGGTGACTCAGTTCCAGACTATGATCCCCAATCACGGAATTTTCTGTCTTGTTTTCTTTTCATCCTCCATAACTTGTTATAGGGACCTGTCACCTCACAGAGAACAGTAGTTTTATTTCTGGTGCCTAGAAAACTGAACCCACTCCATCCCCTGGATTCCTGTAGGCCCCCTTCTAGGTCAAACGTCCCTGCTTGAATTCCAAGGTGATTTCAACTTGGCTGAGACGTAGTCATTTTTT